TGAAAAAATAGTGTCATGGGAAACTGGAATAATAAATTCTAAATTTCATGAACTAAATGTAAATTTACAAATAAATTTCACAAAGTTTCTAAATTTATTCCAAACATAATCTTAAACATTATAGTTTATCTTTTCTCTTCATCTTAGGTATGACTTCCAATTTGATCTGCCATGCCGGGTTCTCGTGCAGGAGTCTCTATTTTTAACGAGTTAAATCCTTGTTGACGCTGAGTTTAAATGGAGATAGAAAAATTTTTCTGCCCGTTCAAAATAGGGATGGAGATGTGGAAGTAGCTACCTTTTCTAAATAGATTTTATTTTAAAATTGCATATTTTATATTTTGCAAAATGATAGAATTAGCTAAATATGTACTAAGGGGGAGTCTTCAGTCCGTGCGAGGACCCTGATGAGGATTATTCCCCGTGCAGGAAAAGTAGGGACAGGAACGGGGAATTTTTTTCCATGGGGTTCGGGGATAAGGAATGTGATCTCCTCTTCAAACTGGCTTCACTTCTTCCTCTCCCCTTATCTCAGACTAAAATAGAATAGTTTATTCTGATTTCCATTATTTTTTACCTGAAAAGGGTAAAAAATAATGGAAATCTTTACCCGGTTTCCATACTTCAATTCTGGGATATTGGCTTCATAGCATACCATTTTTTCCCCCTGAAAATGATTTAAGATGGCATGTCGAAATCAAATTATTCAAAATTCTTATAGTTTTTTTTATGTATCTTCTCTGCCTCATAAAAATGGAAATGCCCAGTAAGCTAGATTTTCTAGCTGCACATATCCTAACATCTTTTCCCTTGTGAATCATAGGAATGTTGTATCTGCCTTTCTGCCTACGATGATGGAAGTGAACTCCGGGAACTTCCTTGCTGTCACCATTTTCATTGCGCCTGCATAGACAAGTGGCTGTACATCAATGCTACCTGCCCTCTCTGCAAGTACAACATCCTGAAGACCGATGATCAAAGTGGTAGCGAAGAAGTATGAAAAAGGAAAAGAAGTAATGATTCAGGGTCTTCTTCCTGGCTAGTTTTTACATTTGGAGGATGTGTTTTTCCTGTATATCACCGGTGAAAGCCTTGTTTTGAGACAGCTGTCTGACCAGAGATTGGTTAGGTGTATAAGTTCCAATGTAATAAGAGAGGTTCTTTTTGTTGTCAAAGTTGCCTCTAAAGAAAGAAATGCAAAAGGGAAGAAGCTGTCCATTGGAGAGGATCTGATTGTGAATTCCCTTTCTGGTGCATGTTGAGTCGTAGTATTTTCTTTATTTTTTTTTTTTAAATGAGTAAAACAAAAAGAGGTAAGTAGGTTGCGTCTGTTGTAAATATTGAAGTCTTTGCTGAATTTTATTTTCTGGTCAGGCTCTAGGAAATGGGATCTCTTGTTTATTTATATAATCAATATATATATATATATATGTATATATAAAAAGAGGAATTTGAGTTGCTCAGGTCTTCTTTGCCGTCGCTCACAAGTTATTATCATGATTTTTGTAAACGTGAATTAAGGATTCCATTCTTGGACAAGTTGATGGTAGCTGGTGATTACCCAGAAGCAGTCTCCTAATGATTTTTTAACAGCTGGACTACGGTCTATAAAAAGATTATTTACCAAGGTAATAAAATAATAATAATAAAAAAAAAAAAAGATGTTGTTAATAATATAATTGGTGGGAATTTTGGTATTCAAAAAACATTCGAGGAGCTCAGAAGCGCACATCTCATCTGGAAATCAGGTGATTGTGGTGGACCCGCCACCACGAGAGCGCAGGATCATCATAGCTCCTTTGCACCAGCCGGGAATCGAACCCGGGTCTGTACCGTGGCAGGGTACTATTCTACCACTAGACCACTGGTGCTTCTTGTTCTCCTCGCATTGTATTATCAATATAACTAGATCGAACACCTCACATACGGCCGCCAAGCAGAAAGTTGGAGTCAGAATATATTTTTGAGAGATTTTGAATTGAAAAAATCTTTAAAAAATAATTTAGACGTTTTTTTTTTTTTTGTGGGGAATTAAATTAAATTATTTTTAATCGGACATATTAGCACAAATTTATCCAGATAAATACCACTTCATCCCACGTGTAACAAAATAACATAAAAACAAATAGGATTAAATAAATCTTATTATCAACCAAACCAATTTCACGATTTTCAGCTAATAATTGGGTGATTATATACTCTTCTGTACACAATCAATTTTCTTTCTGTTGAGTAATCAATACAAAAAATTAATAAATAAAATAATTGAAGATCAAAATTTGGATTGATACGCACACCAAACAGGGATTCCCGTAACCGCTCCACCATAACTCCTCTCCATAGCCGGCACACCATACCCGACAGCCTGCGAGGAGCACGCGTAATCCGGCAACGTTTTTCTCTCCGCCGATTTCACATCCCTAAACGACGTCCTTTGACCCCTCACCCTCACTCTCACCGACACATTGATTATTCCATTCCTCTGCATTCTCTCGTCCCTCAACCTGTAACTCAACAAATGCAAGTGACCTTCTGGGGCGTATCCTCCCATGAAATCCGTCACCGGCATTCTCGCTGATCCTATTCTCCTCTCCCCCGACGACGTCCTACAATTAACCTCTAATGCTATGAACTGCGTGTTGCCGTTGACAGACATGTCCATCTCCAGCTTCTCGTTCCACGACGGATAGCTCCCTCCTTGTTCTTCCATCCTCGTTGTACGATAGTTGAACGGATCCACTTTCACGGTCACGTACGCATTCTTCTTCACTGATTTTCTATCAATGCGCAGGTCCTCTGCTGATAAGACAGTGATCTCTAGCACGCGAGACATTGTTTCTCTGTTGTCGGTTCTTCTGGTTCTATTTCTAAGGGTTGGCTGCTCTGGAAAATCGGAAAACTGAAGATCTGAAAGATGATGGATGGGGAGCCGGAGAACATTACTTATATCAGGGTGCTGGCTACCGATACGGAAGTTATCCAGAAACAAGAACGAAGGGAGAGAGAAGCAAAGAAAGAGAGAAGGTGCTCAGAAACTGTGGCGTCTGATTATTATTTTATTATTGGACCTAATTAATAACGTATAAATTGAGTAGGTAAAAATTTATAATAATTTTAAATTATTATTATTATTATTATTATAAGATGAAGTGTAAACTCTGAATTGCAAATAAAAGATTTATCTGAAAATAAAAAAGAAAAAAAAAATTGTGAATTAAATTTTTACTGTTAAATAAATCAAAGCCAATTGTAATTTGGAGCAAAATAGGCGGCGTTTGGAGCTCAACAGTTGTTTTTGTTGACTGCGCGGTTCGCTGGTGGAAATTAATTTATTAAATTAGTGCCGACGTGTTTGGCGCGTCATGTGTGACGTGACCCGCGCGTAGTTACCCTTAAATCCGCATTTGTCGCCGTATCAGCAATAATTTTTTTATTTAAAAAAAGAGACATAACTCAGTCTTATCTAAAAAAAATAAAAAAGTCAAAATAACTTTTAAAATTTGTCCACTATTTACATATTTTTTTCATTTATTTTAATTTTATACTTTGCATATTCTTTCTTAAAACTCCGTATTATTTGATTTTTTTTTTTTTTTTTTTTTCATTTCATCTAAGTGCATATACTATTTGAATGAGAAACAGTTGTCTTTTTTTATAAGGTTATGCATAATCATTTGATGTCTTTTTTGAGTTATTGAGTTGAAACTTACGAGCATAGTGTATGAATATATGTCTCGGGGTGTTTGAAGCAGACATCTTTTTTTCAGATGGACCATAATACCATGTGCGTATTGAAGGGAGCAAAGCTATTAATATAATACAAAAAATATATGATATTACACACAATAGAGTTGATGGAATGAATATAACTAGGAGATATATATAAAATATATATATATTTTTTCCAAATGGGTAGTGGAAGTGGCAAGTGACGAGTGTAAAGAGTGTCATTGCCATTGCGCAAGCGTGTAGAAAATTTCGTACTCGTAACATTTTATATTGACGCCGATTTGGAGTTGAAAATTCCAGGCAATTTTCATTTTTCACAAATCATTTCAACAATTCTCATCCAAAACGTGTAGAAAAATTCATAATGCCCATTTGCATTTGGAGTTGACTCTCCCACTAATTTTCCTAATTTCTTCCTCCCACTTTAACTATTTAAACTATTAATTATATCATTTTTTCTATAAAAAAAAAAAAAATTAGTTAAATTTATTAATTTAATTTTTTTTACTATCAATTCATTTCGTAAATTTAAGTTAAATATTTATCACAGTTTAGTTTAGTTAAGTCAGTACCTACTTAAGAAAACAAAATTATAAAATAAAACTATTATGCGATACAATATTTTTTTAGTTTTATATTTCTTAATATTTTTATTAATTTAAATTAAAATAATATTTTACTTTTTAATACGAATATACCTCAAATCTGAATTTACCGTCATATTTTTACTAATAGTATTAGTGTGCATTAATAGTTAAATAGTACATTAAATATATTTTTTTAAAAAAATATAAAGATTAATTTAAATATTTTAAAATATTATATGTATTAATTTACAATTTAAATAGGAAAAACTAAATTAAACTATCAAAAATTTTAATGATTGTTCGTATGGAGATTAAAACTAAATATTTGTTAGTAATTAAATGAAAAATGAGTTGAACTTGATGTAGATATAAAAGAAGCATTTTGAGTCGGATGTATATTAATGCGTATAGATTACTCGTATTATGATTATTTTAATACCAGTAATTGCTTGAAACCATCTTTTTACTATATATATATATATATGTGTGCGCGTGCGTGTGTATATATATATATATATATGCTTATATTTGGTTCCTAGATCTTGATTTGAATCAACGATCCATAGGCTTTCTAATTTTCAAATTTAATTTGATAAAATTTCTTTCAAATTTCAATTTATAAAAAAATCGTGTTAGACGTTTTCTGAAATTTGAAAAATATACCTCAAGAATTCGTATCAAATTCCCCTTTCTGTTTCATCTTCCAACACGTGAAAGAGACTGCATAGATACATGTATGTATATGTATGTATGTGTGTGTGTGTGTGTGTGTATATATATATCTATATGTGTACGGGCTAAACTTGGTCCCTGGAGTAATATAAGTTTCTGTATCATTGTACTATTAATTCCTTTACTTTTATTTTACTACTTTTCCTTTTTTTATGAAAAGTTGATAAATGTTAAATTCTTGGCTGTAATCATATTTTATTGTTCCTTCTGTAAACGTTGCAGAAGTTTCTTACGTTTTGGCTTGAATTTTATTGCTACTATAGATTTTGGGTAATTTTTAATTATAAATAAAATTTTATTTTGTGTAATATATATACACTAGTATGATATCAAGATTTTAATCAATAGTGTGATAAAAATTTAAAATTGTCCGGAATTTATATTGTGAAATTTTTGTTAAGCTATTAACTAAATACCATAGAAATATGTATACGCGGTGCATAATATTTTTTTACAAGAATAATTACCTATCTCATATATTCAAGAATAATAGTAAATCGGGTGTGATAATATTAAGATTATGATTATGTTGAGAACACGAGTAATATAATACGAAAAATTTTATTATCATTAGATATTCAAGAATCAGTACATGAAATTTTAATGAATTTGAAAGAGATTCTATTAAGAAGTAATCTATATGGAACTCGCAACGCCTTTATTTGTGTTAAAGGTCCCGGATATATAACTGCTAAAGATATCGTTTTGCCACCCTCTGTGGAAATCGTTGATAATGCACAACATATAGCTAGCCTAACGGAGCCAATTAATTTGCGTATTGGATTACAAATCGAGAGAAATCAATGATATGCTATAAAAACGTCAAATAACTTTCAAGACCGAAGTTATCCTATCGAAGATACGAAAAATTTTATTATCATCTTTTTAATTTATATTAGTAATACTGATAGTAGTAAAAATTATAATTATGATGATTGTAATTGTGGTTATGACATATGTAATAATTATTATGACAATCACTACCATTATTCTCGTTATTATCACATTTATTACTACTATTACTTTTTTTATTAGCTTTACAACCTATATCTTTACCATTGTTGCCTTTGTTATTGCATCCACCATTTATGTAATTATCCGATATTATTATTTTTACCACTACTACTACCATCGTAGATACTATTATCAATAATGTTACTACCAAATATTTTTGTTACCTTCATCACTAATATTGTAAATGCTATTACTGTTCCTACTATTATT